ATCCCCAAGAGTTTGGTTTTGTTCTTACATGTTACAACGCCAAACCAACAGACAAAAGTAAAAGTTAAAAGAGGCTCAATAAACAACATGAATAAAACATTATAATAAAAGTAGAATCAACATTAAAACCACAGAGCTTCCGATAAAAATACATCCTCTGATGGGCCTTCTTACACAGTAAGTTGACACGGGCATCAAAGTTCAGTTTGTCATCCAAAACAGTTCCAAGATATTTATATTGGTTCACAACCTCAACAGCTTCACCATTAATAATCACAGGAGTGGCAACCACAGCTTTGTTTTTCTAAAATCAATGACAATCTCCTTTGTCTTTGAGACATTTAGCTGTAAAAAAGAAGATTGACACCATTCAGTGTTTTACGTTTTTAGGCTGTATTATATGACACACCTAAATTTCTCAATTTCCCAAGTGTGTGTATTCATGTGGTGCACTACAATTTGGCTAGGAAAACACATGGTTGAACAAATACAGCCATGTGACACYAGCAGACTAAAACCCTGCATTTCATTTTCAGCAATTGTGCTCAAACACACATATGACATTGTAAATTTTGAAATCAATGACGAGAGTTGCAGCTGTGGACTTAACTAGTTAATTTCTATTGTGTTAAAGCAAATAATGGTATTTTACTGTGGGGGTTATACTAACTGGATCAAATAATTGTGAGGGTCATAACCCCCTAACCCCTCTGGAAATTACACTGGAAGCCGTAACAGAAACGTTTGRATTCAGCCGTTTCCCAAAAAAAGTCTTAATTCCACCCCATACCTAAAGAATAGCGAAWTTTAGTGTAAAAAATTAATAATAAAAACTCCCAACTCTGATGTCATTCTTGCTGCTTTATTTTTAGTGTCTGCCTGTGAATAACAAGGAGCCATATTTTCACTTTTTCACTGTTTTGTGTGGTAGTTTCCTTGTTCATTATTTGTGTCAATTTGTTTTCGTATGGTTCTTTATTTTTAAAAGAAAACCGTCAAACCAGTCTTACTTGAGGTCCAGATGTAGGTCATAGAACACCAAGAGCTGATGTGGAATTTTAAAACAAAGGCCCTCAAAAGTTCGAAATTCTCCATAAATTGTTGTCTTTATTGAGAAAAAAAAAAACTTACCGAAGACCATTGTCTCTTCAGGCTGYTGATATATGTATTATTGTGGGTGTGCCACATTTGCAAAATAAAAAAAAGATCTTTTTTTTTATTTTTTGATTAACAATTTTAGAAAATCATTTCAAAAATATAAAATGCATTATTCAATTACATTTTTAAAACTGTTTTCTTCCTTTTGCATAAATCCATGCATCCATTTTCTTTAAACACAACAGGGAGCTGGTGCCTATTTTCAGCAGTCACTGTGTGAGGCGGGTACAGCCTGGACAGGTTGCCAGACCATCACAGGACCACAAGAAATGCAATAATTAAATTCATTAAACCAACAGTACCAACAGAAAAACACACACACMCACACACACTGTAAACTGGAATCAATTCTGAARTGAACAGGTCCCACAATCCTCAGTGTTGCACTTCTGTTCCAGGCAGCTTACAAAAACCTGAATGCGAGCTTCTTGGTTAGAGTGTATCTGGGCTCTGGCATTTGTTTACTGGCAGCATACACTCCTTTGCCGACCTCCATGTTCACACGGGTCAGGACAGTCAGTATGTCATCATTCTGCGAGCTGCAACGAGACAGTAAATTATGTAGCTCTATTTGCAGGAAATCCTAAAGTTTGACTTTGAAACAAAAGAAAACAATAAAACAGACAAACAAGAACTGATGTGGCAAAAAATAGTAATAATAAGAATAATTTAGGAGACTGGAAACATTTTAGTTTTATTCTAGTAAAGCTTGAGTTTCATTTTGGGCCAGCTAGGTCACATCTAAACCAGTCTGTTTTTTCCTTTCCTCTTTCAATGGATCAATCTTAATTTAATCACTATATCTCTCTACAAAAGTTATTTGTGTTGTGTAGACCAGTGTTTTCCAAAGTTGGGGTCGGGACCCAAAGTGGGGTCCTGAAACATCAAGGTGGGGTCSTGAAAAMATTTTCTGAATTAATTACATTTTTGCCTTAGTTGTTACAAAGGAGTGAGGTTAATATATTTAAAATGGATAAATGTAGTATAAAAAATATTGTTACTATGCCCATGTTTAATTGAACTGATACAAATGTTTATCATCCAAAAATAGTTGGGGGCACAGGTCTCTGCTACTGTTATTTTGTGGGTCAAAAGCTGAAAAGTTTGGGAACCACTGGTGTACACTATTTCTTGTAACAATACTTCTTGGTACTAAATCTTATGATGCACCTGGCTGGCAGCACCTTACGTACCACGAACTCAAAACAAGTCTCAATACAAACAGCAAAATAAGCTGTTTGGCACTGGCACAGAAGATTAGGCATATTTTATGTGTGTAACTCATATCTCTACTCCTCATCCCATAAACTAATGTTCCTTACAAATGTGGAATCATTTATAAGGAAATTGAAGAGAGTTTCCAACAAAATAGGATTTATTGCCAAGAAATCAAACAATTTTCCACAGTTTTTGGGCTAAGTTTATATACATATAAATAACTATTACTTACATAAGTTTATATGTATGTGAGTATATAACCTTAAAAATTGGTCAGGGGGCTGATCATCTCGAAAGCCATACAGGATCAAAACAACAGGATGTCTTGTGTCTTTTGACTCACCCTGTGTGCATATTATACAAATGTCCACACTCACACACATACATACATAAATATATGTGTGTGTTTTTATCTTATTTATATTTACTTTGCTTTTATTTTTTTTTTTCTTGCTGTCACTTTTTGACAGTGTGTTGTTATTGTGCCTTTCACTGCTGGAATTTAATTTCCCTGAAGGTATCTTCCCAACGGATCAATAAAGGTACATCAAATTTGATCTAATCCAGTACATATATGTGGATATCCTACACATGTACGTGTGTAGGTGTGATGTAACACATCTGGGTTTTCGGCTAACACCCAAGTATTTATTCATTTTTTTACATTTTACGATGACATTTACAACAAACAAAAGATTACATCTATTTGGGCTTAGGTGGCCTCTACATATCGCAAAAGCTTGAGGAGGTCTTACATTTGTTTTTGTGTTCAAATTTCCCATTATTCATTAAGTTTGACACATTTTTCGAATGATTTGTTAAAAATCTTACATAAAGAAAATTTTTTGGTCCTTTTAGGTTAAAATGTGTTCACGATTAATTCAGCAGAAAAGAAATAYAAAGGGGAAAACCATTAGAATGGGACATTATATTTAGAAGATCTAGCTCACCTTTCAGCTGATTTGGTCAGCTGTTTGCACAGTTCCTGGATGTAGATGGAGCCTGTTTGAMTGTGCCGAAACGACTTGTAGTTCTCCACAGTGGCCATGCCGATCAAAAAGTCTGCTTCTTTAGGCAACGTGCCATTGTGTCCAAAACCAGAAGGCATCTCCGTGGGTTTCTGCGCGTCCTCCTCGATATTTTCGTTTTGACACGCTTGTATGAAGAAGACTTTGGGTTTTTCTTCCAAGGTGGGGYCTTTATCACTAGTGAAGAGTGATYTCAYGTCTTTCAGGGGCACTTTCTTCTCATCAGAGCCAAACACACAGCCCTTTTCTCCATGGGAAATGATGCATACAACCTTACAGACAAATCAGACAGACATACTTTATTGACTATAATGTCTCACCTCAACTTGAATTAAAAACAATATTCACTCATGTCAGCTGTTTTTGGGGCATAAAATAAACCTTTTAAAAACTTGCATCAAAGCCTACTCTCATCACTTGAAACATCATTGTTGGGTAACTTTTTTTGTATTGAAATTAGGATTTACTSTAACTTTTCAGAAAAGTAAATATTTGAACTAAAACTAAATCATAAGTTTAAGTACTGTATTTGAAAAAAAAATYCACTACACAATGGGACAGACATCAGAGTCACTGAAGAGCTCTGTCTTTCCCAGCTACACTCTGACATGTGACTGAACAGTAGTGGAACAGAACCAACTCTCTCATTGTTGTGCTTGTGTCCCTTTGCCTAGAATAATTTTCCCAGCAACAAAAAAGGGCGAGTTCCTCTGAAAGTGCAAATAAATGTGTTTAAATCCATTTGTCATTGAATTAAAATTAAGCTTTTGTTMCGTTTTAAAAAAATTCATGACTACATAACAAATAGGCCTGTCACGATAACAAATTTTGCTGGGCGATTAATTGTCTCACAAATTATTGCGATAAGCGATAATATTGCC